GTGATTATTCCAAACAGTGGTTTGAAGCCTTGTATTTGGTGCCAAATTAGGATGAATATTTCCTCCTCAATCTCCTCTCAAAGGCTACTTTCATACACATTTAGCATCTTCTGTGATCTTGAATGACAGTTATCGAGACACTCAAGCACTGTCTCTTTTCTGGCCCTCCCCCTGGCCACCCTGTCTCTCTCAAGAGGGGTTTGGTGTGTGCTTCTAGACACACAGATGGACATTAGAGTGTTCCAGAGCAGAGCTGTTAACTAGAATGTTTCATGCCTGGGGCGAATTTCACAAAACCCAAACAGGGGAATGAAAAAGCACCATCAGATCAACTTTTTGGGTTTTTTTTTTTTAGGCAGTTGGGGTTAAGTGACTTGCCCAGGGTCACACAGCTAGTAAGTGTTAAGTGTTTGGTCTGAGGCCATATTTGAACTCAGGTCCTTCCTAACTTCAGGGCCTGTGCTCTATCCACTGCACCATCTAGCTGCTCCCCAGATCAACTTTTAAAGACAAATTCATCTCCAGGGGGCGGTAATCTGGGGAGCGAGAGAGGAATTAGCCATCTTTGGACTTTTGTCTTGTAGATAGAGCCAGGTAGTAAATGGCTGGAGTTCATTTGGATTACAACAGTTGGTGGTGGAGTAGGGAGGAAACACATATCACCTAGTAGTTGCCTATTTCAACTCTTCTCGCTAACTAGGTATTTAGTTCATTTGGTTCTATGCTGCTAAAGTACATTATTATAAATGTCATCAGCTCCCTCTAAATTTCAGCACCTTGGAACAATGTCTAGGCTATCCCATCCTAGTTATGCTTCTGTCCCAAAGGGATGTAGACCATGCCTAAAAATGCCCACTCTGACCTACTACTTTGTAACATTGTACTAAGAAATTTTTAGTTCAATTTAGCTTACACATTTAGACAAGTCTAGTTAATGCTGCTATTCTTTCTTTCCTCAGAGAGCTATACCAAAATTTTAATGAGTCAAGGTGAGTTCAAATAGTTTGACTTGTTTCTTTTCAGTTCGTTATGCTAATTACTACAAAATCAAATATGAAATATTTGGAGATATTGAGAGGAGAGACAAATTGAAATTATTTTAAAATGTGAATTATGGAATATTTAAAAAGAAATACAATTTTACTTCATCCTTGGCATAAATTTTAGAAATATTTAAATTCTAAAAGCAGAGGTCTGTGCAGAAAGGTTACATTTGGAGTATCCCTCTATCTTTCTCCTTGGCAACTTTTGTTATTCTTAAGAATTCAAATTCCCCTGTTGTTAAAAAAAACCAACATATACTCACACAGAAATCAGTGGCAAAGATGGGAATGTTGTTCAGTTAACATTTCTCTCCTTGCATTGTTCTCTGAAATTTAGAGGTAAAGACTGTATCAACCCAATTAATATGGATTTATGGTGCCAGATAGCATAGCTGAAACACAAGTGCCACCACGTCTTGTAAATGGCCCTTACTTTATTTTAATTACTTCCCAATTTTTCCTTTGTAATGATTTTTGGAAAGTTCCAAATATTAGTAGTTAGCATTTATATATCACATTAAAATTGGCAAAGTACTTCACATATATTATCCCATTTGATCCTTACAACAAATCCTCTGAGGTAGATGTTACTGTTATCCCCATCTTGCGGATGAGAAAACTGAGAGTTCACTTGACCACAACACACTGCTAGTAAAGGTCTGAGTCTGGTCTTCCCGCCTCTATGTCCTTTGCTCTACTCACTACATTCCCTGGATGCAAACTCACAGCCTACCATTCTCCGCTTAGCTTTTGTGCAGATGGAGTCAACCTCTTATACAAGGAACGCTTTTTAATCTGCTGCTTGGTACCTTCTGCCTCTGCTTAAAGACCACGGACATGGACATTTAGTAGACCAAAGGTTTCTCGAGACGTTTTCTTAGAATTTGCCTGCAATCAATCACTGCTGCATGTGTTTGATGAGGAAGGAGGCCATATGAACTGTTTTAGGAGCTGTGCTTTAAAGACCCAATGCCAAATTTGAGCTGTAAATAGAATTCTACAAAGTCATGAATTCCAGCAATCCGGCCAAGTCCCCAAACTTGAGTCTTACCAAATAAAGTCTAGCTACCAAATAAAGATAATAGATATGATAGAATGTGATGGTCAGTTCAGAAAAATTAATTATTAATATTGTTTGGTAATGAGCAGGGGCTGTGACATTACTTCCTGGACTCACTGCTGTCAATATGTCTCCCTCATAGCATTAGCTCCTTGGTTTATTTTTGTTTTTTTCCTAATTTAGTAGAAGTAGAAAAATGGACTTTTCTTTAACATTGCCTTGGCTTCTAAATGCAATTTTAAGGAGATAAATTGTTAGCATATTTAGTTTTTAGCATTTTTAAATACAACATCTTTTTTATTTTCTTGAGTAAAGCCAATTAAAAACACAATTGTTTAGATATAATTGTTTATTATTTGGGTTTCTGTGGTTCTATGATGCTTGTAAAGAGGGAATATTTCAAAGATCTAACACTGAAAACCACGAGGGAAATGGGAAAGACCAACAGGCAAGTCGTAAGTATTGATCAATGAAGAAACCGACTATAGGGAACAATACTCTGAGCACTGCCTTGGAGGGCCCAATAGGCAGGCAGGCAACTTACAGTGTTCCAAGCGCTTGGGATACAAATAAAAACCAAAAGAAAGGAGGAAGATAACACATAAAAATGGAGGAGTGTGGAGAAGGGGTGGGGGGCGGGACGGGAGAAGTACCCAAGGGCATGGTGGTGAAATCCTGGAGACACAAGAGAATTCAACATGGCCAGTCTAGGCCCTCTCCCAAAATGGAGGCCCCTGGAAGGGACTCACCAGTGGGAGACAGGGCCTAGCATGGCATTCAGTTTCTACCAGGACAAGGCCCCAGTGATGAGGGAGGTCCCTAACATGAGAAGGCAGCTGAGTCACCATGGCAAAGTTAGGAAAGTCAGAAGCACAGCCTGGATGCATCTGTTCCCTCTGACCTGGCAGAGAGCCAGCCATCCTTTCCTGTCCCATATCCTCTGATAAATCCACCATAGGGGCTGCACTCCAGATGCTTCTCCCTGACTTCACAGTATGTGGACTGCCTGTGCAGCACCTCCATGGGACAAGCCCAACTTCTTCATACAATCCCATGCATCCAAAGGCAGCCTTTCTTCCCACTCTTCAAAGTTCTTTGTTTTACAGTGCGGCCTGTTCCCTCTCCCCAGAAACCTCTGCAGGGCCCTCTGTGTGATAATTATTTTTAAAAGTTTTCAGATCTGGAAGGTTCCATTGTTTGGAACATGCAACTATGCTCAGTAGAATACTGGATTTTTTAAAAATGTGGCTTATTTCTGGGAGAGATTTAGGGTTACTAAAAGACCTTTGCTGTTTACTGAAGGCAATCCAGCCTAGCCTCTTCCTTTTAAATTCCCAAAGTGACCCTCCCATAGAATTCCTTTTCTTCCTTCAAGGCCAGACTTTGCTACTCTTTCTTCCAATGCGGCCTTAGGCCTTACTTGATCTCAATTCTTCCCTCCTGAAGCTAAGTCATCCTTCCCTCCTTGACTCTTCAGTTAGTTTGCAGCTCTTGCATGCACTTAATCACAGTCTAACCTGCATTATGGTTATTTGCACATACATATATCTCATCATCCCCACTAGAATGTGAGCAGGGACTGTCCACATTTAACATGTTCTAGCTCCTTAAGCACATTGTCTTCCACAAAACTAGGCAATAATAAACATTTGGGCAGGTAGGTGGCACAGACAACCAGGCCTGGAGTCAGGAACACTCAGCTTCTCGAGTTCAAATCCTACCTCAGATACTTAACTAGCTGGGTGACACTGTGCAAGTTACTTAACCATGTTTGCCTCAGTTTCCTCCTCTGTAAAATGAGCTGGAGAAAGAAATGGTGGACAACTCTAGTGTCTTTGCCAAGAAAACAAAGTTGGACTTAACAACATAAAACATTTGTTGAACTGAATTGAAAAAAATCTCACCCCTTTAGGTGGGGCTGGAAATACTTCTCAAAGCTCCTATTACTAATGCAACTATAATACCCTGGAGGCAATTACACAACACATAAAGGTATCTAATTGCTGGGTCATCTCATAGCTAGGGAAGTCACAGATTTAAGAACTGGAATTTTCACATGTTGCTACGGCCAAAATTCAACAGCTAGCCACCAAGCTTTGGGTGCCGAGCCTCTCCCAACAACTTACGAAATCTGATGCAGAAGACAATGTTTTGGGTAGGTCTGTGCCCCAAGCCTTTGCAGCTTAGTAGCTTAGTCACCTTCACCCTAAGATGAGGCTTTGGAATTGGATTTTAGATGTCACATATACCCACAGCAATGGAACAGTGCCATGTGAATTTAAATGACAAAATCACTTCTATGTATTGTTTAAAAAGAAAGAAAAAAAATCACATCTACATACTGTAAAAGGAACACCATTCTTACACAGCTGTTTTTATGTATCACCCCAGCCTAGAACAGGGTAAATCATAGAATTATAGATTTAGAGCTGGGAGGGACCAATGTGATAATTTAGGAAACATAAAAACTATTCCAGCTGAAGATTTTTTTTAACATATAGTCATTGAGGGTTTGGGGGGGGGGTGTCTCACTTCTCCCCAGATAAATTCTTCCTACAAAGACCAAAAGGTTGGGCTTTAATTTAAGCTGTGTATGAGGAAATAGCACACTAAGCTGGATTAGACCTCCGGGGCCATCTAATTTAACTTCCTTATTTTAAAGATGAGGAAACTAAGGCCCAGGAGTTAAGCAATGGCTCACTGGTAGTAGGAGCATGTTCAGAAATGAAGGGGATGTATAGACAAAAGATATCAATAAAATAGAATTTAGAAAAAAGAAAGGTGGCTGGCTCAGGTTTACTTAACGGTTTCTTATTTACGATGAGGAAGTCACAGTGGGGTGAGGTGGGATTCAAGAAATGACTGCAGACACATACAACCAAATTTAGAGACTTATGACCTAGTTTCAAAATGCTTTTATTTGTGGCTCCCCTAAAGGCAAAATATCAGAAAACAATCCACTGCAGAGACAACATTTTATAGTAAAGAAATAGTATATTTATCCCTTCCTTTCCCTTGAGTATACATGCTTTCATCTTATTATGAACATTTAAGAGCAGTTTCCCGTGTCTAGATACGTGACTTGTTTAAAAAAGGCACCCATAATCATGGCCCTCCACCATCCTGCACATCACTTAGCAGGCACTGTAGTCTCAACCACACACTGTAACATAATTAGAAAGCTCTTTTGCCCAATCTAACAAAGTATTTTAAGGTTGTATTCTGCTTTCCTGTTACTCTCCAACTTTTTCCTAACTGTGGTCAGAACACTCAACATTAGAGGAAAAAAAAACCAAATAAATCATTACAAATTGTTGGTCATAAACTAAGGGAGGTGAAGCTCAAAATCAGACATGTTAAATTGTCTCCTCCCTCAAATGGATAATTAGAAAAAGAGATGACTTGTATATCAGGTCAGTTAAAGAAGTCCTATTCCTGCAATGCTCCTAAGTAGTCCCTTTTCTAAATGCCAACCATACTAGCTGGCTGATGGAGACTGCAACAGATCTCACAAAGACTAAAGTCCCAAATAGTGCCATCCCAGAGAGAGCCAGCAGAGCAACAAGGGAGCTTTAGTTCAGTGACCCAAGTGAAATGCTGGTAAAGGCACAAGGAGAGGAATCATGGGTGACTTTTAGTGCCATTTTCATTTAACAAGCCATTAGTAGAGCAGCCCCCAAACTCCTTTCATCACCCCGAGATGTTTAAATCAATTACTGTAGGAAGACACGATTGGCAGGCTGGTATCCCTTCTGGTAGAGGTCTTCAAGGGCGCTCCAGCCAGACCCCAGCATGGTCCTCCCGGCATAACCTACGGCTGAGGGGTATACCGTAGGTATTTCTTGCCTGATGGGAGCTCTTTGGTGAAGACGCCTTTGGGGAACAGTTTTTTGGCTTCCTCTTCAGAGATAGTTGGAACAACCATGACACTATCCCCACACTGGAGAAAGATTAATAAGAAAAGTTTTAATGTTAATTGTGATGCCTGGGGTGGAGCTGTCCAAACTCTAAAAAAAAGTTGTCAGTAGTTTATTTTATAGTGAAAGAATACAGCAAAATGTAAGCTCCCTAAATAAATAAAAGCATGAATAAATAAATGAAGTGAATTCCTTGAGGGCTGGGCTGTTGTATACCTAGCTCACAGCAGAGTGCACAAAACACAGCAGGCAACTAACAAGGATTTACTGACTTGAATCCCCCTCCTACATTTCCTAGGGACTTTAAGAGAGATCAAAGGGAAAAGTTTGGGCCATTATCCTTCCCTTTGTTGATGTAAATTTCTTAAACGGAAAAGGGAAACTTTTGTTATAAGGATGAGACCACTACATGAACTTCTATAACACCTATTCAGTGTTTTAACACCTGTTAAGATCTTTAAGATAATAATTTTATCAAGAGGAGGACAGGGATGTTGAGGTTAGTTTTCTTGACCTCAGAGCTAAGAATCAGATCTCCCAATTTTCAGACTCACTAGACACACAGATTAAGATTAAGCAGGTTCCAATCCTGCCTCCCGTTATCAGACTCCACAGGCCCTTGGACAAGTTGCCCGATCTCCCTGGCACGTAGGTGATATTTCCTCTATCTGTAATGCGATGGGATTGGACCGTGTAGCGCTTGAGGGCCCTTCCAGCTCTACGTCTTTTGTCTAAATACACACTCTCTTGTTCCTAATGTAGAAGACATAATCTATGACCTATCTTTAAAGAAATCCCTAGAGATACAGTGTCCAGGCAAGTTTCTGAAATACCTAAGTTCCATTTATGTGATGTGATCAGCAATGGAAAAATCTGTAAAAGACTGACCCTGAATATAAAATGTTTCATAATATTTCAAGGTGAAGGGATACATAAGGATGTATGTACACACACACACACACACACACACAGAAATGTAGATATCTATCTATCACCAGAATAGAGACCTCCCAGGCAGGAAACTCCCCCCACCAACTGTTTTTCAGAGTTATCATGGGGCTTGTCCAGGGTCACCAAGTCACTATGGATCAGAGCCGGGCTTGAACCCAGGTCTTCCTGTCTCTGAATCTGCTCTCTGTTTACTACATCAGGCTCTCTCCTCTTTCAGGAATTCTGGTTTACACTGGTCTTATTCCAGTTGGGCAGACAGATGTTGAGTTCTTACTTTCCAGTCAACAGGAGTAGCAACCTTCTTGTATGCAGTCAACTGAAGGGAATCAACCACTCTGAGGATCTCGTCAAAGTTCCTGCCCGTAGTTGCTGGGTAAAGGACAGACAGCTTCAACTTCTTATCGGGGCCAAAAATAAATACCTGCAAAATGCAGAAAAGTGTAGGGTGTGTACTTCTATTATTTAGGAAGTGTAATTTATACCTTGATCCAGGCAGCAAAGATAGTGGTGTTTCTCTGCATAGACCACCCCCCCCGCCACACATGATCTCATTTTTATGTAAGGAGATGGATTAATCTCCAGTGGGATGTCCTTCCTGATGCCCCTAATTGGTTAAGTCTCCCCTTCCTCCTCAAAATCATATACATAGCTAGGAACAGATGGAGAGGTCAAAGGGACCGCAGCAGCCATTGAATCTAACCTCTCATTTTACAGATTCTGAAACGGAGGCTAAGATTTAAACTTGGTTCTTCCTGACTCAGGCATTATATTCACCACACAACCTAGTTACCTCTTTATTTGTTTACTCTTAATAAATACATATTGATTAACCAATTTACATGTTTCATTCCACAACAGAATGTTAGTTCCTCAGTTTTTTGTTTTTCATTTTTGTCTCTGCATTTATGGAATAATGAAAGCTTGCTGAATGAGAATTCCTAACCTCAAACAGCCCCTCACGCCACCCCCTCCACCCCCCAACTGGCACCCAAGTGTTTAGACTGATAGGAACACGGAAGGTGGAAAAGAGGATGGAGCAGCTGACCTCTGAAGCTCATCTGATGCTGCTGAAGTAACACCACCCTTAAATCAAAGTGTCACAAGGCAAGCGGGTCCCACGGAAGAAACATGTACACGAATGCTTGCAAAGCCTGAAGCTGGACTATGACACTCACCACACGAGCTGTCAGAGGCATGCCCTGCCCGTCCCGTTCATCTGGGTCTAACATGCCCAACTTGATGGCAAGGTCCCGGTTGTGATCATCGATGATGGGGAAAGGCAGCTTCTCTGTGGGCTCGTCTCCATTGTATGCATTGATATCCTGACAGAGGGCAAAACATGAATATAAGCCAGGTATGTTCCCTGGATGGTCTTAATAGCTAAACCCTTTTAACAGAGTAAGGAGTGGACAAAGTGATCTCTCTTCTTGAACTATGAACCAAAACTCCTAATGGGTGGACACGTGAACAATTCTAACCACGGTCTAATTCAAATTTCCAGCTTAATCTTTATTTCTGGTTTATTGATACTTTGTACATCACTTTCATTTTCAAGTTCCAACCAGTAAGACCACCCATTCCTAATCACCAGGGAGCCTTCTCTTGTAACAAAGAGTATTAGTTCAGCAAAACCAACAGATGCATAAACTGCTTTTGAGTGCATATGCCTAGGGCCTCATCTACAGTTCCCTTACCTTCCCAAAGAAAAAAAGGACATAATTTCTTCAGCTCTTTACCAGGGTCGTGCCTGGTCAGTTCAGTTGAATTTTGTGGTTCCATTTGTACTGCTGGAGCTAACACACAGATGATTTTTCTGGCTCTGTTTACCTCATGCTACACTAGGTTCATGTAAGTCTTCCCATGTTTCTCTGCATCCTTCATTTCTTATGGTGCAGTAATATTCCACTATATTTACAATATATAATTTGTTTAGTCACTTCCTAATTGATGAGCACCTACTTGTTTCCAGTCCTTTGCTGGTACATAGCAGGCACTTCATAAGTGCTTGTTGACTGCTACCCCAAAATGTGCCAAGGACACTTTGTTTTCTATGGAATCTTCCTGTCTTTGACCTTCTTGGGGAATATGCCTAGCAGTGGGTCAAAGGGCATGGACAGGTTAGTCTCTTTTTTAGCATAACTAATTCTTCAAGACATTAGTGCCTTTTGGGACACCTAGGTGGTACAGTGGATAGAGCTCTGGCCTTGGAGTCAGGAGGACCTGAGTTCAAATCCGGCCTCAGACATTTGACACTTACTAGCTGTGTGACCCTGGGCATGTCACTTAACCTCGATTGCCTCATCAAAAAGCAAAATAAAATAAAAAGAGAGATATTAGTGCCTTCCTTCCCTCTTTAAAGCCACCCTGTAACTATTTTGTATAGAGGTTCATTCTCCTGCTGATAAATGTATGAGGTCCATGAGGGAAAGGGTGGCTTCATCTTGTCTCTGTAATCCTCAGTGCCGAGCACACAGTAGGTGGACTATATCGTAGCTGTTGGACTGAGCAGCTTAGTGCGCCTCTATTCCTGTAGCCCCTTCACCATCATTTTCATCTTATTACCTTTCTGATTTGCAAGTGTGAAATAAAATCTGAATTGTTTTAATATGTTCACCTTATTAAGTGATTTATAGCCATTTTTTCATAAGGTTGCTAACAGTTCATAATTATTCTTTTGAGAACTGTTTGTTTATAGATTTAACAACCATTTATCCATGGAAGAATGATTCATTTGTCATATTTTAGTTATATATTTTGTTAGTTTCCTATCAATTTTGGATATATCAGAAACTTTTGATGCTTAATGTTTTGCTTTTGCATCAACTTTGTTCATGCAAAAGCTTTTCAATTAAATGTAATCACAATTATCTTCTTCATGTAGTAATGTGTCAGACAAACTGCACTACTTCATAGTAACAATAATGGCCAACATTTATAAAAGAATTTATCCACATCCTCTTGATCATCATCATAGCCGTGCAGGACGGGTAGGTACTAACAAGTAGGTTAAGAGAGGCCATTCTCTGAACCCAAATCAATTTCTTGACTCCAAGGCCAGCACACTTAGCAGTCCTAGCTTTACTGCTACCACTTGCCACTTCACCGATCTTTCCCTTCCCCTGACTTCTCATAGCACTCCATACCTTACTTATACATTATATTTACTTTGCAAAACACACCATGGCAGCACAGTGAAAAACATTTCTGTGTTTGGAGTCAGGAGAACCGGAGAATACAATGGCTTCAAAAACTATAACCATGAATGGGCAAGCTATTTATTGCGTCATTTTTGATGAGGACAGTATGACTTGTACTATCTACTTTCAAGAGTGGTTGCAAAGAAAGCACACCTTACCTCATGGACCACAACTGCAAGTTATTATAGTTATTTTTTCAATGTTTTGGCTCTTCAATCAGCTGTCAAACTGATCTTCCTAAAACAAGGGTCTAGGATCTGACCATCCCTCCCCTCCCTACCTACCTACCGTACCCCACTTCTGGCCTCCCTGCTGTTGCTCACACAAAACGCTCTATGCCTCAATTCTGAGAGTTTTCATTAGTTGTCCCCCACGTGTAGAATGCTCTCTTTGCTTATCTCCTACCCCCCCGCTTCTGTGGCTCCCTTCAAGTTTCAGCAACAATCCTTTCCTTAGTGTCTTCCCTCTGAAATTATGTCCAAATCATCCTGTTAAGTATATCCTGGACACAGTTAATATGTTTTTGTGTGTGTGTGTGTGTGTGTATATATGTATGTATAGTACATATGTATGCATGTTGTCTTCTGCATTAGACTATGAGCTCCTTAAGGGCAAGAGCTATTTTGGGCCTTTCTTTGTACCCCCAGAACTTAGCATAGCAGAGAAGATCCATAATAAATGCTAGCTGACTGACTATACTAATAGACTGTAAGCGCCTAAAGGGCAGGACATAGATTATCCATTTTTCAATTCTCAATCAGTGTCTACCACATAGTAAACACCAGATAAATGTTTACTGACAATCCTCTTGTTGCAATTTGGGGGAACGAGGCCTCGTTTGATCATTGCAACTCAAACTGCTTGCCTAACACAGCCAGTCTAACTTAAGACTACAATAAAATCACCGGAACAGTTAATGGGAATTCAGAATAGTTAGCCTGAATTCAATTCAGTTCAAACCATGGCTAGGGATATAAAGACAAAAAAGAAAAACAATGATTTATTGCTTAGTGAAAATATGAAAATGACTGATTCTACAATGTAACTGGTTTTATGCTGTATTAATTTTATAATTGAGTCTGCCTCTGCATAAAGTCACCTTGCTGTATCCTTGAGTACAGCTCAGAAATTGAGCTTTCCCTTTAATTAGGCGGTCCTCATTCTGGAAGACCCAGAATGACATCAATATGCTAGAGTCAAGTTACAGTGCGTCAGACTGGGGCTGATCACACCAATATGAAGCTCGGAATGTTCTACCACAGGTTGGGCACAAATAGTCCATGTGAACATTTGGGGTGAATTCTCTAAATCTGTGCATCTTGAGTTTCTTTTGAGCTACTTCAACTCTACTTTGCTTGCAGAGCCAGCACCTTATGTAATGACGGCACGCCATGCTGAGCAGTCCTGTGCCAATGTCTCCCATGTCACACAATCAATTCCAAAGTTCTTAAATGTCATTGCAATTTGCATTTAAAAATTCTCTCTCTTAAGTAGGTATTTAAGTAGCTCTCTGAAGTTCTATGTTAATACTAGCCAACTCTGTAAAGATGGTACAAAAGATCAGAATCTTTGAGGTTTTCTCATGGGGCTTATCAGCTCTGAAACCAGGAAACCACACAGCACATGCAATCAATGTGATATTCAAGCCCAAACTCATGCTGTTGTACCTTACTCCAGGCAAGATGGTCTTGGACAGAGTCAATAGAAAGGGCAATCATCTTAACATTCCGCTTCGCAAATTCTGGGGCCAGCTTTGCAGCACGGCCCAGCTCTGTTGTACACACTGGAGTAAAATCCCGAGGGTGGGAGAACAGGATGCCCCATCTGGTAGGAATACAGAACACAGTATCTGAAAAAACTGAATCAAGGGTGGGTTACCTGCATGCATGCTTACTTCTCCATCCAAATTAGGAAGTTAACAACATTTGGATGCCCACCAAGAGACTTCCATTTTTAACTATTCTGCTGTGGATCTTTTCTTCCATTACATTAAGTTTAAGCTTTTCCATTTGTCTTGATCAAGATGGGAAATCCAGGAGGCAGCATGGCTATCCTATAGGAAAAATGGTTATCGATTTGGAAATCTGGGGCCCTAGTTCAAACCCTGGTCTTGACACTCGCTGAGTGACACGTTAGCACAGAGTATCACTGCTGAATACGAGCATGCAGCTCAATTCCCTCCTCGTGCTCGTCTACCTTTTTAGACCATAAAACATATTGAAAAGTGACATTCAGATAAGAGTGTGATGTCCCAATTTGTCTTAATTCAGATTCCTACGTGGCTGGTCACATTCAGACCAGATACTGTAATACTAATGCATCAATCCCCGCTGACAAGTTTATTCATATATAAAGCAATATGATCCATATGAAATATAACCAAAGTTCTAATGCCTTTTATATAAGTCTCACAGTTTATCTTGTCAAAGAAACCAAAGACAGCCAATAGCAGCAATATTACCTCTTGACATACGAGGCATGAAAACCAGTGTTTTTAGTTTATATATCCTTTTTTCCCCCTTCTTACTAGATAAAAGCAAACAGGAGAAAAAAAAAAATCAAGCCTACAATATCCTTCTGCTTTCATAATGTTTAGAACCTGGGTTTCAAAGGCTAGGTCAACGTTGCCTGAGTAGTACAGTTCAGGTTAAGGAGAACACCGCTATTTGTCTAGCTATTATCTCTCCCTGGGAATGCAGTAAACAAACCTGATTTAAAAAGCAAACTGTAAGATCAAATTCTTAATGCCTTAGTTAGTGATGTACAATGTTCTGTTGCACATACAAAAAACAATTATATAACCTTGAAAGATAAAACAGGGAGGGGGGCCCCAAATAGTAGATGTCTAAGCCTTATATCCTAACCCCAGGCTTCCTCCCTTTGTCCTCCCAATTTGCAGGTTCATCTTCCCGTATCACTCACTGCAATATATTGCCAAGCTCTGATCCCGGCCTTCTTTTTTTTCCTATACAACTCTCATTCAGACTTTATCAGCTCTCCTAGTTTGAATTACCATCTATCTTTGCAGAAGAATCATAGAGCTTAGTGTCTCCCCAGAGCACCAATCACCAATCTCCAACTGCCTAATGGACATTTCAAAGTGTATGTCCCAAAGGCAAATTTAGACTCTCCATGTCTAAAATTGAACTAACAGTCTTTTCCCCAAACTCGTCTTGCTACCAAACTTCCATTTCTGGAGGAGGTACCATTATCTCTCTCCTTTCCCAGGTTCACAACTTTGCTGTCCTTCAGTCCACATAACCAGCCAGCCACCAATCTTGTCATTTCTGCCTCCACGATATTTTCATATTCATCCCCCTTTCTGTCTAACGTACATGGGCCACCATCCTCATTCAGGCCTCCTTACTACCTACTGTAACAAATTTACTGAATTCTCTCAGTTGTACCTGTCCTCCACACAGCAGCCAAAATGACTTTCTAAAAACACAGGTCTGACCCTGTTATTCCTCTATTGCCTCTAGATTCAAATATAAGTTCCTGTTTAGCTTTCACAGCCTCTCCCAACCTGGCCCCAATCCACCTTTCCAACATTATATTTTATTCTAAGATCCCTCATCCAGGACACGCTAATCTCCCATCTTTTGAATAGGCTGTGCCACATACCTGGAAGGCACTCCTAATTCACCTCCACTTCTTTTAAGAGTTGTTTTCTTCCAATCTCATTTGAAGCCTTCCTCATTCCCATCCTCTCTCCAGCCTCCCCCAGGCCTCCATTTTTCTTCCGTTTATTCTGTATACAGCCAGTCAGTCAACAATCCTCTCTAGGGCACTTACAAAGCTAAAGACTTGGGATATAAAGAAAAGCAAAAACACAGTCCCTGCTCTTCAGGCATTCATGTACAAATGGGGGGAGACAACATGTAAATAATTATTTAAAAGTAAACTACATATAGAATAGGTAGAAAACACTTGGGAGGAAAGAGGGAGAAAGGCCTTCAGCACAAGATGGGACTAAAGCTGAGTCTTAAAAGAAGCCAGGGAAGCTAAGAGGCTGAGGTGAGGAAGCAGAATATTCTGAAATGAGATGGATGAGATGGATGTGAGCAAGCAAATAAGCTAGTGAGGCTGGATTATAAGTGTGCGGAGGTGAGTTAGGTAAACGAAGACTGGAAAGGTGGGAAGGGTCCAGGTTGGGAAGGGCTTTAAATGACAAACCAGACTTTATAAGAGTGTTTCAAAATCCTGACTGTAGTATTAAGTTTTAATAACTTAAATAGCTTTTAACAAGTTTTTAAAAAATAGCATTAAGCTTTAATATCTTAAAACTGCACTAAGACTTTTGGAACACCTCATATATATCTGAAGAGTGAAGATGCTGGACTGCAGCTACTGTAAAATCAGACCAAGCGAAGGTTCTTTAAAGATGGGGAAAGACATGGGTGTGGGGGGCGGAGCCAAGATGGCAGAGTGAAAGCAGTGACTTGCTTGAGCTCTCCTCCAAACCCCTCCAAATACTGATAAAAAATAGCTCTAAACAAATTCTGAAGCAGCAGAACCCACAAAAAGACAGAGTGAAACAAATTTCCAGCCCAAGACAACCTGGATGATTGATCAGAAAGGTGTGTCGCACCAGGCTGGGAGCGCAGTGCAGCGTGGGTGCACAGTCCGCATCGTGGGCGTGCAGGCCGCAGCAAACCTGGAGCAGGCCTCAGACGACTGAATCTCCGGCAGCTGTGGAGGTTTCCAGACTCCTCAATCCACCAATGCCAAAGACAAATTAGAAGGTCAGTGGGAAAAGTCTGTTTCTGTCGGTGCCTGAGAAAGGAAGGCCGGGTTTCAGCTCCGTTCCCCAAGAGCATGGCCCTGTGGGGGGGGGCCAGCTGCTTCCCGAGCTTCCCGCCCACAGACTGAGGGGGAATCCAGTGGCTGATCAGAGAGGGATTTCTTTGCCAGCGCTCAGGCAGGAATCTCTTGCTTTGCCCGTGTGTGGATCTGGGCCACAGTTCTGGGCGGCGATGCTGGGGTGAGGAGGAGTGCTGGCATGGTGGAGCTTGTAGTGATTGCGGAGAGAAGCCCCTCCTCACAGTTACAGGACAGAAAGGAGTACTTGTAGTCGCAGGCCAGGAAAGGAGTAAACACCTTGCCCCTTATCATACCACCTTGGAAGAACTGAAAATTTACAGGGCCCTACAAGTATCTCTGAAAACAGCTGTACAAACCCCCAAAGCTTGGGACAGTACATTCTCCACATTGGAAGCAGATTGTACCTTAACAAAGAGATTAAAACTCAAGTAACTGGCCCAGATCATGAGCAAGCAGCACAAAAAGAGTCAGACTATGTTATCTTACTTTGGTGAAAAAGAAGACCAAAATATACAACCAGAAGAAGACAAAAAAGTCAAAGCTCCTACATCCAAAGCCTCCAAGAAAAATATGAATTGGTCCCAGGCCATGGAAGAGCTCAAAAATGATTTTGAGAAGCAAGTTAGAGAAGTAGAGGAAAAACTGAGAGTGATGCTAAAGGAGACCCAAAAAAATACTGAAGAAAATAACACCTTAAAAAATAGCCTAACCCAAATGGCAAAAGAGGTCCAAAAAGCCAATGAGGAGAAAAATGCCCTAAAAAGCAAAATTGGCCAGATGGAAAAGGAAGTCCAAAAGCTTACTGAAGAAAATACTTCCTTAAAAATTAGAATAGAGCAATTGGAAGATAGTGACTTTATGAGAAATCACGACACAGTAGAACAAATCCAAAAGAATGAAAAATTAGAAAACATGTGAAATATCTCATTGGAAAAACAACTGACCTGGAAAATAGATCCAGGAGAGAGAATTTAAAAATTATTGGACTATCTGAAAGCCATGATCAAAAAAAGAGCCTAGACATCATTTCAAGAAATTATCAAGGAAAACTGCCCTGATATAGTAGAACCAGAGGGCAAAATAGAAATTGAAAGAATCCACAGATCTCCTCCTGAAAGAGATCCCCAAAGGAAAACTCCTAGGAATATTGTAGCCAAATTCCAGAGTTCCCAGGTCAAGGAGAAAATATTACAAGCTGCCAGAAGGAAACATTCAAGTACTGTGGAAACACAATCAGGATAACACAAGATTTAGCAGCTTCTACATTAAAGGACCGCAGGGCATGGAATATAATATTCGGAGGGCAAAGGAGATAGGATTACAACCAAGAATCACCTACCCAGCAAAACTGAGTATAATCCTTCAGGGGAAAAAATGGTCATTCAGTGAAATAGAGGACTTTCAAGCATTCTTGATGAAAAGACCAGAGCTGAATAGAAAATTTGACTTTCAAATACAGGACTCAAGTGGAACATGAAGAGGTAAACAGGAAAGAGAAATCATAAGAGACTTATTAAGATTGAACTGTTTACATTCCTGCATGGAAAGATGATATTTATAACTCATGAGACCTTTGTCAGTATCAGGGTAGTTGGAGGAAAAAAATTATATGTATGTATATGTAGATAGATAGAGGGCACAGGGTGAGTTGAAGATTAAGGGGTCATATCTGGAGAATAAAATTAAGGGATGAAAGAGGATTATGCTCAGAGGAAGAAAGGGAGAGGTAGAATGGGGTAAATTATCTCACAAAAAAAAAAACAGAAAAGTCTCTTACAGTGGAAGGGGAAACAGGGGAAGGTGAGAGGGAATGAGTGAATCTTATTCTCATAGGATTTGGCTTAAGGAGGGAATAACATACACATTCAATTGGGTATGGAAATCTGTCTTACCCTACAGGAAAATAGGGGGAAAGGGGACAAGAGAGCAGGGGGATGATAGAGAGGAGGGCAGATTGGGAAAGGGGTTAATCAGAAGTAAATACTTCTGAGGAGAGACAG